GTCGGTTATTACTTCCAAGCTGGTCAAATAGAGTCTCTCCTTGTCCTGCGTCCCAGATACATTTCGCTCGGTGTTGAGCCATTTTTCATTTGCGTGCTTGCAGCTAGATTTTGGATGTTTGTAGAAGGCCGTACCAGCGGCGGATTTCACTTTACTAATGCCAAAAAGCAGATAAAACTTGGGTAATGAAAACTCATCCAGGCTCATCCGCAGTATCCTGTGCGTGTCTTCGGAGAATGAAGGCGAACTACACGTGCACAACGAATGAATACTGTTGATCACCAGACCATGAGTCGACGCTCGCATAGTCAAGCTGCCGGAACACACAAGCAACGTCACCGTGTGAAAGATATACGGCAAGTGTTTCCCTAAGTTGAGACGTCGGCGACATGCAAGTCTTGCAAGTCTTGTGACATACTTTGCTAATTAACTTCTTGGCTACCAGCTGCACATTGCCGGACGCCAAGGCGACCGCAGTATCCGCCATAACCGCCATAACCTCTGAGCCTAAGCCGTATCGCGCGCTACGTTGCAGAAAAATATCGAGGACAACATCTATCAGTTCTGGCAGCATGCCAATCGTGCTCCAAATCTTGGCCTGTATGCTCGGATACATTTCAATCTCTTGCACGGTCAGCGTGATTAAATCATCGAGAATTTCCATGACTTGCTTCTGTCGCTTGCCGCCCTCGTCGTGCGGCTTATAGAATCGCACGAGATTGCTCAACCACGGCGTCATATATTCGAGACATAAATGCTTTAGTTCGATAGTCGACTCCCTGAAGCCCTGCATGCACTCTTTCAGAAATTCGAGTGTAAGATGCGGATCATTCGCCGCCAAGGTCTCGCTCAAATGCTTGATAAATATGGTATTGTTCGACGGTATGCATATACCGGACGTCTCCAACAGTTGACCTTCTATTTTTAAGCCGAACGTCGCCGTAAGTGCGCATAGATGATTGTAGGCTGCAGTCCGAAGATTCGGGTCCGGGCTACCGAGATTCAATAAGGCCATGTTCAACAAGGTTCCCGGTACGTCTTTAGGCCTGATTTTCGAATGAACTGACATGGAGTCGGGTTGTGACAACACCCAACGATTTCTGATGTGGATTATAGCCTGTACGATGTTATCGCAATCGTTGTGGGCAAAAGTCAACGGTCCCGCCTCGTTGGAGATAGTTAGCGTGAATTGATTGTCGTCCAATAGGCAAACCTCCTCTATTTCAGAAGCGTAATACACATCGTTTAAGAGAACATATTGCGACAACACTTTAGATCTGTCCGTGTGAGTTATTTGCAAGGTCGTCGGTCCGAGCTTCACGGATACCTTCATCTCCTTGTGGGATAATTTCAAGACACCGGTAAAAACCTTCAAATCTTCGTCCAGAGACAATGTTGCTCCAGGTAATTTCTGTTGTTCGATGTCGATCGCGTCGTTCAATTTTCCTTGACCGTCGATAAAAATTATCTTTCGATTACCTTTCAACGGCGCCAGGATGCTGTCGTGATACTTTGTGTATTCGCGTACCCAGGTATTACAATTGTAAATATATACTGCGTGAAGGTTTTCGTAGGCTGCTTCTGGTAGAACATAGAACCATTTTTGCAAAAACTCCGTTCTAAACCGATTATCCGAACACGTATGAGTAAGATCGACGACCACATCATATGGAGAATGATAGAAGGGTTTTAGAGTCAGGATTACATGATATATCAGCAAGTCGCCGTTTGTTTCGCCGAGTCTAAAAATCAAAGTTTGCACTGTTTTAAAAACATCAACTTAACTTAAACTTCGTTACATCTTTACCTCTTTGCAAAATAAAATGCTTACTTGAATCGACGTGCAATATAGTAAAACACTGGATAACTCTGTTTGCTAGTGCCTGCTTGGTAAAAGATATTCATACTCTGGATGCTCTTAAAGTCCTCTCTTTCGTGCATATTATGTTTCATCATGATCTCCTCGAAATTAGTCGAGGACATGTCTTTGCTTGCCCATCGAGACATACGAACGTAAGAAGACGAAAAAAGCGAACTGAAATTGAAATGTATAATTAATTCGCAACTTAAATTAGTCGCTGCGATGATATAAACGAAATGAGGAAATACAATATAACTCACTGCGAATCCACTGGTTTATGTTCGGGTGGACCAAGGTATGCTAATAATGTGGCCATTTTGTCAAAGGGTCTTCTTCCGACAGCTTTGTGGTCTCTACTGCTGCTAAGATAATCTCCGATTTTCTCCTGATGATTCCACAACAACCTGTGAAGGGCTAAGACATTGGCATCCGATACAAATGACATAGGATGACTGGTCTGATCAACTGTTTCGCAATCCGATGCTATCTGTATGATGAATCGTCGACCGATTTCAAAGTGCGCACGTAGAAAGTCATTGAACGGCAGCATGTGTTGTTCCTTGCTGAACTCTACGTGATTGGCGATGTTTTGCAGTATCTTCGACATAAGCATGAGACCTCGTTTCACTTGCGGCGGTACTGGCTTATCTACTATACCCGTCTCTTGAGGCGAGACGATGGCAGGATTGATGAAACGCAGAAATATCACCGTTCCCACAGCCACAATGTTGCTCTGCGGTGACTGCGGAAATCTTTTGCACAATACTTGATACAGGCAGTGACACATCGAGCGCAGCTGCGGAGGAAACCTAACAAAATTAACGGAAAATAGATTTTGAACTCGAGGGTTGTCTTACTCGTAATAATTAATTGTAGCAAATGACGACTCACATATCTGCCGACGACACTATAGCATCGAACACCTTTTGTGTCAATGCAATCAAGTTGCTACCGTTTTGCTCGATATTTTCACTGGGATCAATCCTCGCGCTATCTACTTCGAAATTGATTGTTGGCTCGTCTAGCAAAGGTTTGATGAGAGGTTCGAGAAGGCCTTGCAAATAGCTGGCGCCGTAAATTTTAAAACAGAACGACATAATCTTACTTCCCAGAGTATTACCGCGAAAGAGAGTCTGTATACAATCGGTCAGCTCAACCTCTCGATAGAGCATGTTCCATAATAAAGGCGACAACAAGTGCTTTGCATCAAATAGTGTCACAAAAACGCGTGCCAGCTCATCCATTTGATTCGTCGTCACTACGTTAGCCAATGCCATGGCGATAGGTAATTCACCTTTATCACTGATCATTGTAACGAGTTGAACTAATTGTTCATATCTGTCCGCTAGAACAGTTTCAGCAAGGGTATCAAACTCCGTTCCCTGTTGAAGTATTTTAGTCAACACTTCCATAAATGCGGCACGCGTTTGAAGATCTGCGTTGTAACCTAAATCTAAATAAGAAAAGAAATCAACATTTAGCATGAAAGAACTAATCATTAGAGCTGATAGTTATGACAACTGGAGAGTTCTCTGGAAGGCGTAAATTGATAAATGAAAATAAAAATAAGAATGTTTCTTAAAAGAATGTTTAAGAGAGCCGTTCCTCCAGAAAACTCCTAAATTAAAAGCATACGAATTGATTTGATATTTTGCGTACGTATCGAGTGCCTTAAACCACTGTCTATATTTGCACTGAGAAGATTACTCATGGCTTGAATGGTAGTGTTGCGTAAAGTGGCTAACTTGCTAGTCGCTAAAGTAGGCGATTGTCGAGAGACGACATCCTTATCCTCCGATGATGATGGTTCGTTGCAGTAATTTATTAAATTCATAAAGAGCATGAAATATTTCGAGAATAATTCAGACTTCGCTTCCATCAAGTCGACACGATCAGAATCTTCAGGCTGAAGGGGTAGTCCGCGCAATAAAGCTCCTACTGCTTCCATGCAAGCTTGATCCAAATCCCTGTGGAAAAGTTAAAATGATAGATTTGCTCATTGTAATTTCTTATTTGGAATAAAGTTATCCAATAATTATAGATAGTCGCAAGATTAAAAATTAGACAATAATTAGATGTATATAAAAAGACAGTAAATGTTTTACCTAGTATAGGCTGTGATATCGTTGGCAATTGTCGAGGAAAAAGGAGGGGCGCACATAACCCACTCGGTCAAATATTCGACCAGTTTGTTGCGAAATTTCAACTCTTGCCTAAACGCCAGGTCATCCCGTCTCTTCATCATGGCTTCGACTAGTTGACACAATTTGGTTTTGATACAAATCGAATGCACTGTCATGTCCAAATGCCTGACGTATCTAACAATTGCCAACATCATGCCTTCGATGCTGGTCATCCCAAGATATTCTGATGGTTGATCCGTCTTCGAGTCCAGAATGTTTTTCATTATAAATATAGTGTGCTCGATGAACTGCGTATTCAAATCTGATACTATCACTTGTCCACGTTGGTCAAAGAACTTTTCGACAAGATTTTTAATCTGATCAAACAATATTGGATACAAGGCAGGACTCATCTCATGCGCGACCAATTCCTTCACGTGCTTCTGTATCTGATTGCCAAGTTTTTCGTTATTGCAAATCAATAATCGTAGTAAATTAAATACAAATTGCGTAACTGTGCAATATTGCGATTCTTGATTAGGATTCGTTAAACCGGAGCTAGTCTCCTGTTGTTTTGTTGAGCTCTTTTTAGGCTCGAGATTGAAAGGGAGTACACCGTAGGGCGGTCTATTCGGCGAACTACATTGCAAGCACACTCCACCCAAAGCGCAAAGAAATCCTGTCATATTGGCCCACTCGTTAATTTGCTCCTCCACTTCATGCTCCGAATTTTGATGCGCTGCCCTTCGTTTCACGTTGCTGCGACAAAATGATTCGACTTGCACGTCCTCAGTCTTGGTCTTGGGATAATTGGACAATTGCCGCGAGGTCGCTTCCCAATTTCTGAATGTCTCTTCCCAAGCCTAAATATAAATATAACATTCTCTATTAATTTCTAAAAGATTATAAAACTAAATATATTCGATATATACAATTAATTAATATATATTATATTTTATGCAATACTATATATCATAATACAATATATCATAATAAAAAATAATTATACGTACAGGTTGTATACCATTCACGCAATGTTCTATTTTTCTCAATAAAGATAATATTCTCTTTTGTAATGCAGCACGTCCTAAAATACACAAGCGTCAAGAATAGAGTTAACAAATTATCGAAGAAAGAAACATAATGATAAAATACAAATATAAAGGCAATATATAATTAAAAATAAGAACTCACCGTGATTATGTTCCTGATAACATAGCCTACTCTCTCCGTGGGCTATTACGATAACAAGATCTTTAATACTTTACTATAGCTGAATAAGAGTTTTATTAATTAAAATAGAGAAAAATGGATTCAAAGATTTATTTCACATTTTTTTCTATTTGTTCCGAGCGTGAAATCTCGTAAAACAAATCAAACTCACCAGAGATCAATACAGTCGAAGCTTGCGCCAATTCTAAATACAACTGATAATTCGGAAGTAGACAAGTCACTGCTACCTCATCACTGCCACAAAGAATTTCAGCTTCCTCACATAGTAATGCGAAACAAGACATTGATACTAAAACAGCTTCTATGTCTATACTCCATAAATATGTTAAACAAACGACCTGTGCAAAAATTTCGCGGATTAATTTTTAATTTCATGTGTAATTTTACAAGTGAATGAAAGTATATACCTCGAGTTTAATATGCGCCTGTTTACTAATAGCTATCTGGCTGCCCACATTTGCATAATCCTTATACTGAGAAAGAAAGGCATTCC